AACACCCGATACGTCATCATTGGTGCTTTCATTGAGAGTGATTGATTGGGTGTTCGTGAACTTTTCCTATCCCATTCTTTTTATTTTTGTTCGATTTTTTTTGAGTCTTTGCGTTCGAATTTTTTCGAATTTTATCCTTAATTTTCGAAAAATTTCGTGAGTCTTAAAAAAAAATTGTCATCTAGTCCTTTCGTTTGATTTTTTTTCGGTTATTACCTTTTGTTGAGGGGCCGAATTTCTCTTGTTTTTCTTTTCTTTTGGTTCGATTTTGTTCGAATTATTTTTTTTAGTCTTAAAAAAAAAAATTTATTATGTCTTATGAGCCAATGGACGAGATGGATTGGGAAGATCTCGAACTATTGGAGAATTTGGAGAGAGAACTTACCCCATGGGAGAGCACATATCTAGACGAGCTCCACGAACGAAGAAATCGAGAAGAATACGAGCGATAACTCGTAGAAGGTCGAGGAGCAATGGAGGGTGAAGTTCAAAACCGTGAAGATGATGGTGCGCTTAGTTTTCTAATCCTTGAGGACAAGGAAAGTCTTGAAGAGAAGGGGAATGATACGGAAGTGGTCATCAACCCATGCGAGTCCGACGAGGAAGAGGACGATGGTCTCGACATATGGCTGGAAAACATGCTGGAGGAGCCATCAAGCCCGATATATCAACCATCATGCAAAAGAGACTGGCCGAGAGGATGTGGTCCACGGGCTAAGTTTAAGATTAGGAAGCGACGGGCCAAAAGACGACGCAAAACAAAGGCATAAAAGGCGAGCCAATGTTGTGGGCCGTGCACTAGGAAGAAACGTACGTGGCATATAGAGTTTCAAAGACGAGGAAGGCTAGGAACAGAAGATGGCTGGATTTGGCGTGCAGATGACTGTATTGGGTTGGATGGTTGGGATCCATGGCCGTCAGGGGGCAAAGGGATCGATGAGGAACGGCTATCGGGCGTATGGCGGGCATCGTGCGGTGATGCGCGCAAGAGGTCGAAGGGTCGAGGCGTTGAACGGAGAAGCGGCGCCGAGATGTTGGACGCAAGTGACGCGCGATCATGCGCGGGAGGTGGGCAAGCTGCGGGGATCGGCGATACGAGTGGAAACGCGGGCGCACGAGGGTATGCGATAGGCGATCAGGACACGGGCGTCGATGGCACGGGCGAGCGGGCAGGCGAGCGCGAGAAGGATGCGGGGGCATCGAGCATGGGCAGCAACCGCGCAAGTGGCGAAGACGCGCACGAACAGGCCGACAGCGAGGGCGCGCGAACGAGAGCGCGTGAGTGGGGCGCACATGCGCTAGGCCTAAACCTTGCCGACCGATGGGGTGCACGCGCGGGGAGGAGTCAGCGACCAGCAGGAGTGTGCGAGGGACGACACGTGCGCGGACGGACAATGCCTAGTCCGCGCGGGACTAGGAGAAGCTGAGGCGGCGGGTGACGCGTGCGAGGCGCGCGCGCGCGAAGCCGCGCGCGACGAGGATTAGGAAACCCGAAGGGCGGCGCGCACGCATAGGGCGAGAGAGGCGGCCGAACAAGTACTTGGGCGCATGAGTTGGAATTGTTTGGAGTGCAAGCCAAGCAAGATCAAGATCTAGTCAATTTAGGACTCTAGTATATTTAGTTTCCTTCTTGCACAATAATATCTAGATTGTTTAGGATATTTAATATTTTATTGCTTTAATATGTTTCCTAGGTAGATTAGAATTAGTCATAGTTAGGATCTATAAATAGGGGTCTCCCCTCATTGTTTTTGGAGGTCTGGGATTTGATGAAATAGAAAAGAACTTTTGTTCGAAACCGTGTGTTAGGATTCGTGAGAGTTCGATCATGCAACCGAATTGGTGAGGCTAAGACCCAAGCCAGTTCAACGATTTAGAGAGGCTAAGACCCGATCTATTTCGAGAGTGTAGCGAGGCTAATACCCGAGTGAACTCAAGTATCGTGAGAGAGTTAGGCTAATAACCGAGTCGATCACACCTATTGTCGTGAGCAAGGCCGTTGCGAAGCCGTGATCGAGACAAGTCGAGGGAACGCAACACTCGATCCGTCATCAGCGCGGCTACGCGTACGGCTGCGCACGTTGTGCATGTATGCATGCGTGCATAGTGCACTTTGAGTGCGTTCACAACTTAATCTTAGTTTCGACTATGAACTTAGTTCCGAACATTCCTAACTTTTAATAATTAATCCCGATTAATAATGTCCGTTTATAAAATAAACGGTTCGGAAATTAATTATCAAATTTGACTCGGTTAATAATTAATCGAATAAACTTTTCGACTTAAAGTCGAACTTATTTGCTGAAAATGAACGGAATCAATAAAAGAAAATACATCCCTTTATTAACAAAAAGTTAGTTATTACAATCTACCCCCCTTAAAATATTTCCGTCCCCGGAAATATACAACTGAGCATATATACATGATACAAGAAAAGTATATACATCAAAACTGGAAATCGGGAAAACGAGTGCGGATATCTGCCTCCTACTCCCAAGTAGCTCCGTGGCGATCCCACTAAACGCTAATAAGGGGAACATTACGCTTCCGGAGTCATCGAACCTGTCGGTCCAAAACGGCTACCGGTCGCTCCTCATAAGACAAATCGGGATTGATCTCAACATCGGTATGCGGAATAACATGATCGGGATCGCACACGTATTTACGCAACATGGATACGTGAAAGACATTATGAACACTGGATAACTCGGGAGGTAAGGCTAACCGATACGCGACTTCGCCTATTCGCTCGAGAACTTCGAACGGGCCTATGAACCGAGGGTGTAACTTCCCTCTCTTCCCAAATCGAATAACTCCGCGAATAGGGCTAACTCTGAGAAAAGCTCGTTCTCCGACATCGAACTGAATGTCACGTCTATGCTTGTCGGCCAATGATTTTTGCCGACTCTGCGCTATTTTAAGCCTCCGTCTGATAAGCTCGAGTTGCTCAGCTGTCTCCTCGATCAATTTCGGACCGAGTACTCGACGTTCACCAACATCGTCCCAATAAAGGGGTGAGCGGCATTTACGCCCATATAGTGCCTCGAAAGGAGC